AGATGTGTTTAAAGGCCAATAATTGTATGTACTGAACAGGATATTTTGTGATCCTTGTTAATGATACTAATGCATCTCTTTTAAGATGTTAATTCACTTTCAGTGTTGTGGTTGTGGGTATGAAAGTTGGAAAAATACTCTACTATTGCAGTTGATGCAGTTGTTTAACACACCAACTTAATTAGCCGATAAATGAAACGCTTTGGTCTCCAAATTTGGATTTTTTTTGCTTGAACTGAGATATTTAGGGGAGAGAAGCTAGTTTCATATTAGGATTACTTGTGACATCCTAGCTTCACTGGTTCTTGTCTAGTCCCTTTCTGTATTAAATAGTACAGTGTTGTAAACATACTTCCAACATTCAACCATTTACCATTGAACTGTTTTCTTACATCTCAAACTCGAAGAAAGGCATGCTTCTTGATGTCACTTTTAGTAATTGTCACACTGACACTGATTATTATCTTAATAAGTTCTATTATCTTATCCTTGTAACATTCAACTATTGTGAAGATATGCAATTGTTTTTATTTTTCCGTTTGTAATATTTTTACTACTGTTGGAGAATGTAGCGTAGTTAAAGTTCCCATGTAAAACGTGGAGGAAATTGTTTCCCAGCTTAACACTCTTTTATGCTTATTTTTCTTAAATAACCCGAAGGCATCACTACAATGGTGGGAGGTGGCACAGGACCAGCTGATGGAACGCGTGCTACTACTTGCACTCCAGCACCATTTCATATGGAACTAATGTTGCAATCAACAGACGACTTGCCTCTCAATTTTGGTTTTACAGGGAAAGTAGGTTCCCTTATATGAGATTGAATTTTCATTTCATAAACACAAGCATTTTCATTGACATTGCACGTTGCACTGGTGGATTGCTGCCATTCCAAATTTCAATATATAGCCTTGTGGATACTCAGGAGATGCTTGTGCCAAACCAATTCCCTTTGTTTGCAGGGAAATTCCTCCAAAGAAGAGGGTCTACATGACATAGTGAAAGCTGGAGCTATGGGATTGAAACTTCATGAGGACTGGGGAACTACTCCAGCAGCAATAGATAGATGTTTATCTATTGCGGAATTATACGACATTCAGGTACCTTCTCTTATTCTTGCGGCAAATAACCTGTTTCATGCCTCTCAATCTGTTATCAACTTAACCGAGAGTTTTCCAGGTTAATATTCATACCGACACATTAAATGAGTCTGGGTTCGTTGAGCATACAATTGCATCATTTAAAGATCGCACTATTCATACTTACCACAGGTTAAAGTTGTCGGAGATCACTTCTTGGCTGAATTGTCGAATGCTTGTCATTTAATTTTTTTCATTGAGTTTCGTGCAGTGAAGGAGCAGGTGGCGGTCATGCTCCAGATATTATCAAAGTTTGCGGCGTGAAAAATGTTCTCCCCTCTTCAACTAATCCCACACGTCCTTACACCTCCAATACTGTGGATGAGCACCTTGATATGCTTGTAAGGGACAAAGTTGTAACTAGCAATTAAAATGTTTAAAAAGAAGGGAACTAAGTTCTGACATGGTTGAAACCACACATTCCAGATGGTCTGCCATCACCTTGACAAGAATATTAGAGAGGATGTTGCATTTGCCGAGTCACGAATCCGTGCAGAAACCATAGCTGCAGAAGACATCTTGCATGACATGGGGGCAATAAGCATCATATCATCTGATTCCCAGGCCATGGGTCGCATTGGGGAGGTTCTCTCTTCTTACTTTTTCTTCTGCTTCCTGACTTTCTGACTGTGAAAGCATGCTTTCTTCCATCCTTTTTCCATTATCAACATTAATTTGTTTCAACAATTTTCTTTTCTTTTCTCGAGTTATTATCATGTCTTTTTGTTTATGTTAATTGTGGGAAAAAATCTCGTTTTAATTTGGTTAGACATACCTTACCTCTTTTTACCTTTGCATTTGACATTTGTTGACTGGGTTCACGGTATCACTTGTTACTAATGGACCCAAAACTCCCAGACCCTTTTCTGGGAAAATGTTTTCTCCCCCTTGATGATAATAATATATTACTTCCTTTTGAAGAGGAAGATTACAGGACTTGACCTACTCACCAAACAAAAATATTGCAAACAGGAAAGTAAATAACTCTTAATGTACTATCAAATTTTGTAAAGACAAATACAATATATAATAGTATAATATAATGTTGTGGATTCCATTTGTCCTTCATTTTATCCCCGTGATTTCCTTTTTTTCTGCCACATGTTTGACCCCAGAACATCTCATTACTCTCCTCCGGACATCAAGCTTGTCCTCAAGCTTGAAATCTGGAATAAGTTCAGGAAATGCTGTTAAACGCTCCCATGAAGCATAGGCATTCTCATCCCGCTTCCCTTTTAAGCAAATGAGCACGTCCTCCTGCAAACCACGATCAAACCGGGTTTTGAGCACGGGGAACAACTGGTGGCAAAGGGTTGACCATTGCAGGGGCAACCCCTCTAAATTCTTTCATAAGGGAAACATGAAAGACTTTGTGGATGCGGGAAATCTGTGGGAAGCTGAACTTTAAGCGACTTTTCCAATGTGTTAAAATTGAGAGAGATACTTTGGGAGAATATTCATTCTAATTTCCGCGTTAAAAGTCCGTACATGAAAAAAGCTTACAGCAATTTATACATGCACGACGTCACTACACATAAATGACGTCGTTCGAGAACAAACACATTAACTAATGAAAGCGTGCAAACAAAATGAACGCGACATCTTCCTAATGGAACAGAAATAAACAGAAATTTGAAGGGGCCGACTATATCCCTATACCAACAGCCCCCTCAAGTTGGACATGGGTGTATCATCCCCTACTTGGACAGCAACACGCGAAATTGTTTACAAGAAGTATCTTAGCAAATAGGTCTGCCAGCTGCTGCCGTAAGCAATATTTGCGGTAGCACAAACCCTGATTTGGATTTATCCCTCACAAAGTGACAATTGATCTCAAGATGCTTTGTGCGCTCATGGAACACGGGTTTGGCAGAAATGTGAAGTGCCGGCGCTAGAAATGTTAAACGGGCTAGCTCTAGCGGTTTCGGACTAGCCATAGCGGGATTCTTATAAAGCCCGAATTTAAACGGGCTACCAAGGGTCCTAACTCTAAACCTAGCGGGCCTCGGGCTACACGGGCTATAATAATAATAATAATAATAATAATAATAATAATAATAATAATAATAATAATAATAATAATAATAATA